TATTTAATTTATGCTTTCTCATGTTGCTGTTTCTACACATGCAACCCAGTCGTAAATGATCTTTCTTCAGAATTTCCATATAAATTAATCATGACACCTCAACTTTATGGTCAATAAAACTTTGTTGAAGCCAGCTAAGCTGAGTCCGCCTGCAGATGCCAACATTAGGGTGGTGTTTGTAGCTAAGGTTGATCAAAAACAGTGGGACATTTTTATCCATTAAAGTCTGGAGCTCTAATGCCAATTTAAACAGTTACGTTTCTAAAACTAATAATAGCTTTAAAAATATGTTGACAAGCAATCTGAATCTGCATACATCAGTGTAGGTTTTATGTTTGATTTTAAGTTTAAGAACAGTGTTAAAATCAGGTGAGGTGTGTGAAAGGATGGACGGAGTCAGGTTCATTTAGCCGGTGTTAACTGCAATATAAATCATAAATGTACCCACGTGTACATCTGACAAAAATAACAAAATGTGGGATGTAGCGCAATATACTCTTCTTAAAGAAAGGTTTGAATTATAAAAATCTGCTCACAACAAGGACATGTAGCATAACAATTCCACACAAAGACACGCCCAAACACAGGGAGTTTATATAATCTACTAATCAGGGGAATGGACAGCCGGTGTGAGCAATAACGGGACGAGACAATTACGTGACAGCCAGGGAGGGAACGGTGGAGCTAGAAAGCCGATGAAGACGACCGCCGAAGCCTGCCCCCAGGTGGCGCTAGACTCAGAGGGAGCTCTGACAATGGTGTCAGATTAGGTACACACTCCAAAAATGTCCTACTCCACACATCACTGTTCACAAGCACAACTCGATACAACTAGGAGGATACATATTGTACTCTTAACTATTGTTTGAGTTAAACAAACTCGAAATAGCCCTACTGTCTGACATGCATAGTCAACAGACATGGACCATGTGTCAGAGAGGAAGGAAGGATTATGAACTTTAGTCATTAAAAGAAAAGAGGTAGTTGGGAATCAGAAAAAGCAAAAGCATCTGGTTAGAGTTTAGAGTAAAGAGACTAGTCGTGTGTTTTTGATAATGTCGCTGTGTCCAGAGCTCAACTTCAATGTGGATCACGGGTACTTGGAGGGTCTCGTCCGAGGACTGAAGGCAGGGATACTGACCCGGTCCGACTACCACAACCTGGCCCAATGCGACACCCTAGAGGGTAAGGTGAAGTGTTGAAGTGTTGACATGGTGCCGAGAAACTGTGTCAGGAGAAGTGCCGTCGGGCGAGATGGTAGTTGGAGAGAATCGAGTAATTTACACGAGGACATTTGGTTCTGTGTGATCCTGGTATAAACTGTGGTAAAACAGCATGTGGGTTTGTGTTTTGGTGAGTGTGTGTGTTTTTGTGTGTTTGTGTGTGTGTGTGTGTGTGTGTGTGTGTGTGTGTGTGTGTGTGCGTGCGTGCGTGCGTGCGTGCGTGCGTGCGTGCGTGTGTGTGTGTGTGTGTGTGCGTGCGTGCGTGCGTGTGTGTGTGCGTGCGTGCGTGCCCGTGGGTGCAAGCTTATTATATTTCAAGCATGTGCCTGTCTCTTTGTTAGTCATCATCATCTGCCTCACAAAGAGGAAGCCAAAAGTTACCACACAGACAACTTGACAGGGCTATACTGAAGTCCATAAAAACACATTGTGGTTATTTACACAGAATTAGAAAGTGGAGAGAATAAGATGAAAAATGATAACGTTGCAGGTCAGATAACTTGTCACAAAATATGTACTGCAAACATCGGTTTACCAGGCTGCTTTTCATCAACAAAACCAAAACAAGAATGACAGAGTTGTGGTGAACATTGGCGTGGTTTTACATTACACAGACGTCACTTATAATACTTAGTGATGATGATTTATCAGATATCCCAGATTTGGACAAAGAAAGCGTTTATTTACAGAAAATATATATTAAAATGTGTCTCTAAATAGTGCATCAGGGTGTTCTAGTGTTTTAAGTTGCTCTGCTTTTCTGTCCTCCACTGTTAAAGAAAGAGTTTGAATCCAGTCCAATGGCCCTTCAGAAATAAAACTCTAACAAAATGAAGCAAATGTATAATCATACTGTAAAAAAACATTTTTTGTTGCCATTGACAAAATGTGTTCTTTTTCGTAATAACCTGACAGATTTACTTTCTGAATGTAGATATGAAGCTTCACCTGCAGTGCACCGACTACGGCGCTCTCCTGTCGACTGGGAACGAGGACCTGACCGTCTCTCTCCTTGACAACAGGCTAAAGGGGAACATTCACACAGAGTTCCGCTGCCTACGTGCCCACGCTCCGGCGCCCCTGTCCACGTTCCTCGACTACATCAGGTAGGGTCGCTTTAATCCATGTCGTTGCTCCTGTCTGTTTGTCAGTCTAACTCCCTCTCTGTCAATCTGTCTGTCTGTGCTGGCTCTTCTAAACCTTCCCCAATGAAGGACATGTATGCCAGCAGCGACCCTAAACTGTGTGACACATTTCTATAAAATAATCACTTAAGATGTGAGAATAATGGATCTTGGTTCAAAAGGACAGAGGAGGTATTAAAGAAGAAATGTAACTAGTGTCACACACTGCATCCTGACATCTCCTTCTTGTCTCTCCGCGCTACGTGAAATGGAACGACGCCCCCTCATTTGAATGTCTCGTTTCCACAGCTACAGCTACATGATTGACAACCTGGTGCTCCTGATCACCGGCGCGCTGAAGCACCGTGACGTGGAGGAGCTGCTGCCGAAATGCCACCCGCTGGGAATGTTTGACCAGATGGCAGCGGTTGGCATCGCCCACACCCACACCGAACTGTACAGTGCCATCCTAGTGGACACGCCCCTGGGTAATGACCTTAACTGTACAGTGCCATCCTAGTGGACACGCCCCTGGGTAATGACCTTAACTGTACAGTGCCATCCTAGTGGACACGCCCCTGGGTAATGACCTGAACTGTACAGTGCCATCCTAGTGGACACACCCCTGGGTAATGACCTTAACTGTACAGTGCCATCCTAGTGGACACACCCCTGGGTAATGACCTTAACTGTACAGTGCCATCCTAGTGGACACACCCCTGGGCAATGACCTTAACTGTACAGTGCCATCCTAGTGGACACACCCCTGGGTAATGACCTTAACTGTACAGTGCCATCCTAGTGGACACACCCCTGGGTAATGACCTTAACTGTACAGTGCCATCCTAGTGGACACACCCCTGGGCAATGACCTTAACTGTACAGTGCCATCCTAGTGGACACACCCCTGGGTAATGACCTTAACTGTACAGTGCCATCCTAGTGGACACGCCCCTGGGTAATGACCTTAACTGTACAGTGCCATCCTAGTGGACACACCCCTGGGTAATGACCTTAACTGTACAGTGCCATCCTAGTGGACACACCCCTGGGTAATGACCTGAACTGTACAGTGCCATCCTAGTGGACACGCCCCTGGGTAATGACCTGAACTGTACAGTGCCATCCTAGTGGACACACCCCTGGGTAATGACCTGAACTGTACAGTGCCATCCCAGTGGACATGCCCCTGGGTAATGACCTGAACCGCACAGGGCACGCAGGGTGCTGAATTCAGCTCATTAGGGAACTGGTGAAACAGATGGTCAGATGGTGTGTCCAGTCTGGACCAAATCAGTCCAGTAACAAGGTTTCCCCCCACCCCTGATGTCATATATAAATATGAATCAAAAGTTATGGTATTACAAATGAATACATGTATAAATAAACTACTCTAAATTATGGGCACACTACTTGGCAAGCCCTTGCCTTGCTTTGGGATTATCATAATATCACCGGGCTGTTACTCATTTATGGCCCAGTGGGTCTGATCACATGGTTCACACGATTTAACTGCAAGCAGTAAAGTAACATGCGTCATTTGGATCTGGCTAGCCCTGTACTGAAGAGCGGTGGCGAGTTCACAAGGCGGTGTGTCCAGGTTTATTCCTAATCCCATATTTATTTCTCACGGTTGCAAACGTTTAGTGAATTCCATGGTTTTATAGAAGTCCCGGTTGGAAGGTTCTGAAATTGTTATTTGTTCCAGCTCGACTCTGTGAGTCATTCGTTTTAGAATGATCCAGGGGGTTCATTTTGAAACGCCATGAGTGCTTCTTTGTCTTTTCAGCGGCCTTCTTCCAGGACGCTGTGTCTGAGGCCAGCCTGGACGAAATGGGGGCTGAGATCTTGAGAAACAAGCTGTACAAGGTGGTGTAACACAAAGTCTACCAAATGTAAAAACATTACTGCCTTACATTTAGAGCTCTTCCGCACACAGACACAATACACAACCTTCAGATACACCAACAACCATGGCGTCATGCTTTTATTTTATGAACCTCTAGCTCGTTTAGTGAAATGGGGTTAAAACCTAACCCAGTGAGGAGCACTCCTCGTAGTGGAATAACCAGAAAAAGTCATGAGGCGGACATGGTCCTTCAAGCATTTCTGGTATTTGTCACATGACTATTTCCCAGGACTAGCGCACCAATCATCTTTAAGCATTGAAGCTGGGCGTTGATGTTATGCCACTGTTCACTATTACAATATAACTTTAATTTTATTCTTGGCTAGCTCCATTTTGTAACCTCATTTTACCAAGTTAGTATAATTGAAAAACACATTTTGAGCCACCAACCTGGAATTAATCTAGGTTAGCTGCCAGACGTAAGTGTCATAAAGACCAGTTTTCTCGTATGCTAGCTCTGGGATTCGAGCTCCAACTACTAGGCTGTACTCACTGTAAATGTTTGTATATTGTATGGTAGATTCATATATAATGCAACTATCATTGAAGAGAATCAAAGGTTGGTCTGGGTATGGGGTGTATCGTTATGGGGTGTATCGCTACGTGGTGTATCATAATGGGGTGTATCGCTACGTGGTGTATCATTATGGGGTGTATCGGTATGGGGTGTGCCGTTACTTTTTTCACCTTTATTTAACCAGGTAGGCCGATTAAGAACAACTTCTCATTTGCAACGGCGACCTGGGGAGCAGCTGGGATTCGAACCCAGGACGTCATACACACAAAGTCATACGCACTCTACTACTGAGCTGCCAACTGCTCCACGGGGTGTATCGTTACGGGGTGTATCGTTACGTGGTGTATCGTTCCGGGTGTATCGTTACGGGTGTATCGTTATGGGGTGTATCGTTACGGGTGTATCGTTATGGGGTGTATCGTTATCGGGGGTGTATCGTTACGGGTGTATCGTTACGGGTGTATCGTTATGGGGTGTATCGTTACGGGTGTATCGTTATGGGGTGTATCGTTACGGGGGTGTATCGTTATGGGATGTGTCGTTACGGGTGTATTGTAATGGGGTGTATCGTTAGGGGATGTATCGTTACGCGTGTATCGTTACGGGGTGTATCGTTACGGGTGTATCGTTATGGGCTGTATCTTTACGGGATGTATCGTTTAAATTGCCATTGAAAAAAGGGATTAACGGGAATGTCACTCTAAACAGGCTTACCTGGAGGCCTTCTATGCGTTCTGTTGGGAAATGGGAGGAGCCACCAGGGATGTTATGTGTCCCATCCTGGAGGTAAAGACTACCTGTTTGGAACGCCTGAGACACTGTCCGTTTGTTTTAATTATTGTGGTTCTGAGTGTGAACAAACGGGAACCGTATGTTTTGTCTGTGTGATTATATGGATGTCTGGATGTGTATCTGAATGTACAAATCTGTATGTGATTTTCCTGTATGTGCGTGAGATGTTTGTACAAGCATTCCTAATACGATTTTCATGCGTTATGTGCATGAAAATCGTACTAGTTGAAAAGACATTGAATAGGTATATGTAATTTTTCCAGTACTCACAACATATGAATTGCTTTTATTTGCTATGAATGGGGGTTTAAATGTTAAGGCCTGGTTTATGGTTAGGGGTTGGAAAATGCATAATGTTTTATGGGATCACAGGAACAGTTCTCACGAGTATTGTAAAACAACCGTGTGTGTTCTGCAGTTTGAGGGGGACAGGCGTTCGTTTATTATCACGGTGAACTCGTTTGGGACCGACCTGAGTCGGGGGGAGCGAAGAGCCCTGTTCCCCTCCTGTGGAAGACTGGCCCCTGGAGGTCTGCAGCTGCTGGCCGGTGCTGAGGACCACGAGCAGGTCAAAGCTGTGGCCGACTACTACCCGGTGAGATTACAAGCAGTGGAGAATATTCAAACCCAGTGCTTCAATGTTGTCCCGTAGACAATTGAAAACCAGCGCTTCAGTTTCCTCCTGTTGTTGTTAAGGGAAAACCAGCAAGTCAGTTTCCTCCACATGTTAAGGCAAAACCAGCGCTTCAGTTTTGCTCTGTTTGGGCGCAGCCCTAGAAATACTGGAAACCTTGGTAAAGACCTTACACTCAAAATAGGAAAGAATACCAATGCTTGTTGAGGAGAAAATGACTGTTGGAGTAACACAGTCCTAATCAAGTTAGCATTCTCAACATCCGTGCGGCAAAATGATCTTTAGCAGGAGTGTCAATAATCCTGGAGGGAACTACAGTAAATCAATGTGATATTACTGCAGTCATCAACCAGGACTATACACTATTAATCATAAATTAATATGCTTATTGATCCTCCAGGACTATACACTATTAATCATAAATTAATATGCTTATTGATCCTCCAGGACTATACACTATTAATCATAAATTAATATGCTTATTGATCCTCCAGGACTATACACTATTAATCATAAATTAATATGTTTATTGATCCTCCAGGACTATACACTATTAATCATAAATTAATATGCTTATTGATCCTCCAGGACTATACACTATTAATCATAAATTAATATGCTTATTGATCCTCCAGGACTATAGACTATTAATCATAAATTAATATGCTTATTGATCCTCCAGGACTGTACACTATTAATCATAAATTAATATGCTTATTGATCCTCCAGGACTATACACTATTAATCATAAATTAATATGCTTATTGATCCTCCAGGACTGTACACTATTAATCATAAATTAATATGCTTATTGATCCTCCAGGACTATACACTATTAATCATAAATTAATATGCTTATTGATCCTCCAGGACTGTACACTATTAATCATAAATTAATATGCTTATTGATCCTCCAGGACTATACACTATTAATCATAAATTAATATGCTTATTGATCCTCCAGGACTGTACACTATTAATCATAAATTAATATGCTTATTGATCCTCCAGGACTATACACTATTAATCATAAATTAATATGCTTATTGATCCTCCAGGACTATACACTATTAATCATAAATTAATATGCTTATTGATCCTCCAGGACTGTACACTATTAATCATAAATTAATATGCTTATTGATCCTCCAGGACTGTACACTATTAATCATAAATTAATATGCTTATTGATCCTCCGGGACTATAGACTATTAATCATAAATTAATATGCTTATTGATCCTCCGGGACTATAGACTATTAATCATACATTAATAATCACTATTAATCATAAATTAATATGCTTATTGATCCTCCAGGACTATACACTATTAATCATAAATTAATATGCTTATTGATCCTCCAGGACTATACACTATTAATCATAAATTAATATGCTTATTGATCCTCCAGGACTGTACACTATTAATCATAAATTAATATGCTTATTGATCCTCCAGGACTATACACTATTAATCATAAATTAATATGCTTATTGATCCTCCAGGACTGTACACTATTAATCATAAATTAATATTCTTATTGATCCTCCAGGACTATAGACTTATATTCAGTGAAACTGAGGACGGATCCTCCAAAACGCTGGAGGACAGATTCTTCGAGCAGGAAGTAAGTACATTATTCCCCGGAAGCCTAAAGCACATGGACAAAGTAACAAGGTAGAATGGGCATTTTGTTTTTACATCAAAATCCCACTGACTAAACAGAGATATGTGATTGATACAGTTTACATTTTCCAAAAGAGCATATATACAGTATATATATATATACACACACACACACACACACACACACACACACACACACACACACACACAGACCAACTAAAATTAAAACCATTAGAACCAGCAACCTTTCGTTTACTAGTCCAACAGCCTCCAACTCCATTAAGCCCACCTGTCGGCCGCATCCTAAACACCCAAGTCACCTCTCTCTCCTTGCCCCTCAGGTGCGACTGAATGCTCTGGCCTTCCTGGATCAGTTCCATTTCGGAGTGTTCTACTCCTACATCAAGCTGAAGGAGCAGGAGGCTCGTAACATAATCTGGATCGCAGAGTGTATAACACAACGACAGAAGTCCAAGATCGATAACTACATACCCATCTTTTAGAAGAGGAAGACGTTTTGCGAATAACCACATATTGTAATTAATGTTTGGCAACTATGGTGCATCTCATTGGATAAAGCATTTTGTGCAAATGTTGAATAGTAATCTATGATCTAACAAACAAACCAACTCAACACCTACAAACTCACAGAATATTATATCAATGTTCTGGTTTTCTGATACATTCTCCATTTGTTGATACTTATAAAGGAACATTTATTAAACGTATTTAAACAAAGTAGTGCTATAAATATTAATTACATAAGGTATACAAAAACATTAAACAGCACACATTACGATAACTTGCTAAAACACCCTGAAACTATCAAAAAACATAATTTAAGTACAATACAGAGACGGGTAGCATGTGATGTAAGACAATACAGTTCAAATAAAAGTTATTTGCTTCAGTTTTCAGAACATTTTGGTAGAGCGTCTTAGACAGGAGCTGAAGAAAAGAGCAGAAAAATAAACAGTAAGAATGAGTGGTTACCTTGTTCAAGGACACTAACTCTGCATTACACAGGAGCTCTAGTTTACATCATACCCACTGCATTAAACAGGAGCTCTAGTTTACATCATACCCACTGCATTAAACAGGAGCTCTAGTTTACATCATAACCACTGCATTACACAGGAGCTCTAGTTTACATCATACTCACTACTGCATTACACAGGAGCTCTAGTTTACATCATACTCACTACTGCATTACACAGGAGCTCTAGTTTACATCATACCCACTGCATTACACAAGAGCTCTAGTTTACATCATAACCACTGTATTACACACAGCTCTAGTTTACATCACACTCACTGCATTACACACGAGCTCTAGTTTATATCATACTCACTGCATTGGACAGGGAGCTCTAGTTTACATCATACTCACAGCATTGGACAGGGAGCTCTAGTGTGACGTGGTTTCTCTGGCAGAGGTGGACAAAAGCAGCAGCTAGCCTACAGGGGGCTCTGGAGGGGCCCGAAACATAGCCACAATGGCTTCTCTCACACACAGATAAAAATTGTTCTGGATCCACCTGATAGAGGAAAAACAGACAATACAAACAATTCAATGAAACAAATATCTGGTCTCAATAATTAACCTGGTTGGATGATGACAATTTGAACATCTCAACTCACCACCCTGAAGCAGGAACTCAGTGGTGAATCTCGGGCAGAAAAGAGACTGTCACATCTCAGAGAGTCAGCAGACATTTTAGAACAGGGCTCTGCTATCTGCGGTGAACTGCGACACTCAGGATTCGTCTATGCAGAAACAAATGGGCATGTCAATGAGAAGCACACAAGACAGCCAATTCGTCAACGCATTCAGTAGAGCAGAATCTGAACTCGCTCCGATCTGTCTGACGAGCTGGGCCAAAAGGCCCCTGAGTTGGTCGGGGGTCACGGCCTTTCCTACCTGCCAGCTGTGAAAAAAGTCAGCCATGTTGTCAGCTTGGGAGCCATTAGGTAGAGTGAAGTCATTTCCTGCTTCATTGTCATTGGTTCCCAGCAGACCGGTGGACACACCTAGAGTCAAGGAATTGCATCATTTATGTTCACTGCATCTGAATGGGTTTAAGAGGATTTATGTCATGTGTCTAATTGTTGTTTGAAAGTAACAGAATATGTGGTAATATAATAACTATTAAATTATTATTCTGGTCGTACCATGAAGCCATCCACCAAGAGTCAGACTACACAGCTCCAGAGACAGGTCACATGACAGCAGTGCTCCGTTCTGATTCGACAC